TCTTCTTCTTCTTTTTTTTCTTAACATATATTGCATTATTTGTTTCAGAGGTACAGATCTGAGATTCAACAGTCTTGCACAATTCACAGCGCTTACCAAAGCACATACCCTCCCCAGTGTCTATCACCCAGTCACCCCATCCCTCCCACCCCACCCCCCACTCCAGCAACTTCAAATTATTTTAAAAAATTAACTACTTTTTGTGGCCAGAGTAACCTATGCCCATGGTAAATAAATACATAGCTTTGAAAGGTATGCGTTAAAAGTAAGCATTCCTCCCACTTTATATCCCTAGATCTGTAGTGACTTCCCTGGGGCAACTGCTGCTAACGACTTCTGGAGGATCCTTATAGGACAGACTCATAGATGCAAGCGTATGGATCCTAAGATACTGTTGTGTATCCTCTTTTTTTTCACCACACAGCGTATCTTGGAGATGGTTCCTTATGAGCACATATGGATAAGCTGTGCTTTAAAAAACTGGCTACATAGTTTTCCAAAATTCGGATATGCCCTAATCTAACCATGCTGGGCTTTGGCCATGCGTCCAGGGGCTCCTGCCTGCCCATAACCTCTCCCTTGAAACTGTTCTTGGGTATTGAGGTGGGGTTGGTTGGCCATCCAGCTACCTGGAGTGCTGGGTCGCAGATGGACGGATGCTTGAATTGTGGATAGCAAGAAGGTCTAGTTCATTCTTCAGCTCAACCAGCAAACTTGGGGAGATGTGTTAAGTCCAGCACACCCTCTGAACTTGCAAGTTCCTAATTTATAAATTGGAGATAACATTTCTTTCCTTTCTTTGTCTTTAAAAATTAAAATATTCATATGGGTAGTTTTTCTCATTTTTACATTCTTATTATAAATAAATGTGGGAATCTAGAACACTGTAAAGAATGAAATCAAAATCCCTCATCCTACTTCTCAGATCATACTTGTAGCCTGAAGGACACTCACTTTTCATGTTCTCTTCATAGCTTCTGTTGTGGTTTTTTTTTTCCAGCATTAATTATATGTGACCATTTCCCCCCTGTAAATACAAATCCTGCATAAACAATTTTAAACTGCTGCATAATTTGTTATTGTACGGCTGTGTCACAGTTTAACCATTTCTCAGTACCTGGATATATAGGTGCTTTTCATATTTTTGTTTCTATAAATAATCCTATGGGAAACGTCTTTATATATGAATCTGTTTCATTTCCATGGGTTGGATTTCACCAGTCAGATTCCCTCAGTCTATGTGACCAGCTCGCCCTTGAGGGAGAGCGTGACACTTTTATCAACAGCTCCAGTGTGTGTGTGTGTGTGTGTGTGTGTGTGTGTGTTAGTCTGCTCGCACTGCCACAGTTTGGGGGGGGCGACACAATTCAGTTCATAAGAGTGCCTATTTCCCCACACTCAGGATAAGAGTGCATGTTAAGTATCTTTAAAAATTTAGACAAAAGTACAGCATGACCTTGTCTATTTTTTTTTTAAAGGTTTTATTTATTTATTTGACAGAGACACAGTGAGAGAGGGAACACAAGCAGGCGGGTGGGAGAGGGAGAAGCAGTCTTCCCGCCGAGCGGGGAGCCTGATGCAGGACTTGATCCCAGGACCCTGGGATCATGACCTGAGCTGAAGGCAGATGCTTAACGACTGAGCCACCCAGGTGCCCAGCGTGACCTTGTTTAAACACTTCTCTTTTATTCCTAGTAGTAATCTATGTTTGGAAAGACTTTTGGAAAACATTTAGGAAAACCAAGCGATGGAAACATTATAGCAAATCTTTATTGTAGGAGTGCTATCACATAAATGCTTTGTCATAAAACTTGCACAGAACCTTTTGTAGGGTTTATTTTGGGGCAATATTTTACATATAGAAGAAGGTGATCTCTGCATGGATTGGAAGCCCCTTGCCACAGAGCATTAGGAAAGAAAACCGATTCTTTGTATTTTGCACAAACAAAGTTTATATTTGCTCTGAAAGAAAAAGACATATTCATCCAATTTTAAATTATTTACATTGTAGGAAAAACAACAACAATAAAACAACAGTAACCATAGATAATAATGTAAAAAATTGAAAACTAGAATTGTAAAATTGAGCTCCTTAATGTTAAATACTATTTATTACTTCTAGACTTACACCAGGTGGCAGGGCCTCATTCACAGTAGAACTTTGCACCGAGTGCTCTCCCCACGGCTGGCCCCCTGCCCGACACAGAAAAAAATAAAATAAACCCGCTGGGATCATGGTGAAGCTGCCTTAAGACTGCAAAAGTGAAATCAATGGTTTCTGTTATCTTTTTGGAGGATTGCACATTATTTCCTTTGGGACCCTATCTTGGCTGCGCGGGAAGGGAAAATAACTGCACTTTTAAAGGCAAAATTCTCCCTTTGTTTGCCAAATGGGCACAATTTTCTTCCATTTTACTCACCACAGTGGAAGCATATTATGTAAAAAGTGGAGTTGTGTCCTGTTCATCTGGGCATTTGATAGTCTACGAAAAGATGCCTCCCTGCAGTATTGCTGTGTCCCCAGGCTTTCAGCATTGAGCTGCTTGGTGACGGTCCTCGCGGGTCAGGCTGTGTGTGTGAGGGCCGCCTGGTCCATCGCATGCAGCTTATAGTTCTGGAATTAGAGGGCTCTCTTTGAATTTCCAATGTTTCCCCTCAAGTGTAAGGCACTAATGAACGCTTTTTTTTTTTTTTTATTCTTACAGTGTTTTCACAAATGGAAGACTATTTATCCCACCTGTAAAAATTATCATACCCAAATTCAGTCTGATGGAATGGAATAGTGTGCTGGCCATGATTGGGGAGAAAGTCTTCCCTCTAGGAGGCGTGCGAAAGTAAGGCTCTGTCACCTGGGGGAGACCGGGTCACAGCATGGGAATGTCCTCTCTGGACCAGCAAGGCCTCCAACCCTACATCATTAACTCTGATTTTAATTCTTTGGAACAGACAATATATACTGTCTTTTTACCATACTTATTTTTATTTTTATTTATTTATTTATTTAAAAGATTTTATTTATTTATTAGAGATAGAGAGCACAAGCAGGGGAGGGGCAGGCAGAGGGAGAAGCAGGCTTCCCACTGAGCAGGGAGCCCGATGTGGGACTTGATCCCAGGACCCTGGGACCATGACCTGAGCCGAAGGCAGACGCTTAATAACTGAGCCACCCAGGTGCACCGCCCCCGTACTTATTTTTAACCAATTTGTTTCATTTTTCATTCAACACAGTTTATTGAACATCTGCCATGTGCTAGGTGTGGTGAATGGGTGAATGAGGACATGGGGATGGGGAGAGGTGGGGTGGACAGAGGTGGGGTGGACAGAGGGGGGACAGAGGTGAGGTGGCCAGGGGGATGGGGGGAGGCGGGTTAGCCATGGCTGGTTGTGGGAGTGAATCCCGAGACAGGTTGGTGGACTTAGACCACGGGCCTGGTGTGGATCAGTGGACCACAAGGAGGGAGCTGTGGGAGCAGCCAGGCTAGCAGGCTGCAGAAAGAAAGGTTAAGGCTTCAATATTGGGAACACTGCTGGGGATGAGAAGGCCCAAAATCTTGCGTGGGAGTGGGCTGAGAAAGTGTAGGGAAGACACAAACTTTCAGAGTTGAAAAGGCAGAGATGTGGAATGATGCTGAGTGTTTGAAGTATCATCTTTACGGACAGTGATGGTCCCCAGGTGGTAGGCATTGGGGTAGAAGAGCCAAAACATTTATTACTCCTATTTCACTTGCTGTCAGTTATCTCTCTTGGGGGGTAAATTCAAATGTAAACGATTGATTTACAATCAACAATTGTGGCACCAATGATGAAGACTGAGCCTATCTTGTGAGCGGGACATCAGCTGTTGGGCACGTAGAGCCGTGGGGTAGTCGTTAACCTAGTTAGGGTGGTGAGTCACCACGTGACCCTACACGTGCTGGGGAAGTCAGAGGGTACCTAAAAGTCAGTACTGTGGGTGCCCAGATGATTCCAGAACGCAGTTGTAAATATCAGTGTGTTACTCTCAAACAAAGAGCCCATCATTGTGCGGAGCAGACTGACTTGTGTGAGCTTTTGGAAGGAGCCGGAAGCAGTGGTAGAATTAATCACACATATCACATGTGAAATGGCAGAGGCGAAGCAGGCAAGGAAACAGGATGTTCGGTGGGAAAATAGGACATTAGATTAATAAGCTTTTGATTTTTTCTAATCAATCAATCTAATCAACCAATTCTTTATGGTTGAATTTAGAAAAGGTGCAGAGCTTAGGAATGAAAGAAATGCTGGAAGTACAAAGGGTAAGTTTATTTGTTCTCATCACTGCATGAAAAGAACACTTAACCTGAGAACAGACATTCAAGCAAACATACAAGCAACGAATCTCATCCTTGCAAGGCTCCCGTTGCTGGAGGAAGACCTGAAGCTCTTTCGGTGTGTCTGGGACATTTGACTTGAGCTTTTCCAGGGCCCTTTTTTCCTCCAGCTCCGGCACTGTTGAGAGCTCATTCCCTGCATCCACCTCCCTCCACCTGAGCTGTCAGCTCATGCATCCCCTTCCTTGTTTCTGCTGATGGAGCCAAGATTCTCCTGGGCCCCAGAATCAAACCCAGACTCCATCTCCTCCAGCTCCTTGGCCTCCTGCTCAACAACCCCGTCACAGTGCTTGTGATCCACAATTTGAATTTTGGATTATCCCAAGTAGGATTTCTTTGATCTAACTTTTTTTTAATGACAACCCAAACTGTGCCGAGGTGCGTGGTCACCCTGCTCCACGTGATGCCTCGTGGCGTCTCCTGGAGTTGTTTTTCCTTTCATTTAGCTCCTCCCTGTAGAGATGCTCTCGGTGTGAGTCAGTGCGACGGTATTTTAGCGGGCCTTCCCATTTCCATGCTAGCTTCAAAGTTCTTTCCTTTCAGATTTTGAAAACATCACTTCCTTGTGTTGGGCCGTCGGTGCGGCTCTGACCCCTTTGCTCCCTGCTCCTCCGGGGAGAGCCCTTCTGGACGCTCGTGTGCATTCCTGGATGTCTCCCTAATGTGCCCACATGTGAGTTTTCTGGTGGTCTCTCATTTTTGACGCCTATTGACTCAATTTGAGGTCCTCCCTCTTTCTTTAATCCTGTGAAATGCATCTTCATTATTCCTATACATTTTTCTCCCTTTCTACATTTAGGTTTTTTTTTGAGATTCTTACTTTTGGGCTGTTGGCACGCCTCCTCATCCTCCTTTCCCGGCTTTTCTCTTATACATGTTGTTTCTCATGCCGCTTGCCTTTGGGAGACCCTGTCAGTTTTGTCCTCCCAACAGCGGCTCGAGCCATGTCTGTACCTCTTCTGCTGGGCGCCTCGTCTCCATGACTCAGTATTCACATCTGTATTTTTGCTTGTTTCTTCTTTACGCTTTCTTGTTGTTTCATATTGGTAACTTCTCCTCTTATTTCATTTACAGTATTTTTCATGTTTGTATTACATTCTTGGTCCATCTGCTCCAACACTTCTGCTTCTGGGGGCTGCACCAAACGCTCCGTGGTGGAGCCTCGATGGCCAGCGCCAGAGGAGGGGACACCATCCTCCAGCCCGCACAGCCTTGCTGCCCCTCGGTCGCATCTGCCTCCCTCCCCCCCTTGCCTGCTGCCGGCCTCTGTGCTTCCCCGACTTACCCCTGGGGATGCTTGCACTAGCTGTTTGGGTCCTCCAGTGTGGTGACGCACCGAGTGTCCCAGGACAGGGGCCACGGCAGGAGGGGAACAGAGTTCCCAGCGTTGTGCTCCTTGTCGCGGCCACCTGCTGCCCACGTGGCTCTCCGGGGGCTTCTCCCTGTGGTCGCCTGTCCGGAAGGTCTTCTCGTTGCTCCAGGGCTGGTCTAAGGTGGCCGTTCTCACGGGGCTCCCAGAGCAGCGGCGGCAGCAGCGGGGTGAGCTGGGCACTTGTTAGACATGAGTGTTCCGGCCTCATCCTAGGCTCACGGAACCGGAGGCCCTAAGGGCGGGGCCCGGCTGTCTGCGTGTCAGCAAGCCTTCCAGGTGGTTCTGGCGCTAAGGTTTGAGAAGGACTGACGGGAGGGGAGAACGGTTCGGTGGCTTTGACCTCCTCAGCGTGCCCTTCTCCTCTTCCCAGTCTGGAGATCGCTGCTCTGACTCCCGATGACCTTGCACACCCTTGTTGTGGCAGCCCGAGCCTCCTGTCGCAGGCTGGGCTCCTTTCTCTGGCAGCTGCATCGGCGTGGTGTGTCCACGATGGTCTGCTGACTGTTGCTGGCACCTAGCTCTTCTCTGCTCTCCCGTGGCAGTCTCCCATCACTGTGGTGAACTCAATGATCAATTCCTCTCCCTAGAATATTCCAGGCTCCAGAATTCTCTGTGCAAGTTGTGTGTGTGCCTTTCCCCTTCAGTGACAGTCAACCCTTGCATTCTGGCCTTTGGCCCAGGCCCCTCCTGCTACCCCAGATGGCTTTACCCGTCTTCCCATGAGGAAGCCTCCCACCCTCCTCACCCCACGGCTTGCCCCCGCCTCTGTGAGGCCTACAGTTGAGTCCGGTTTTCCTCCTCTTGGAAGTCTGGATCTTTGCCCTTCGCTGGTCATATTTGGTTTATAGGTTTGTGTACAAACCCTGACTTTGGGGGTAGCAGTGACTTCCTTACTCATAGTTATATCCAACACAGTGCCCACCTCGTTGTCCAGTGCATAAAGATGCTCAACGCTGAGTGCATTGAATCATTTCTTACATGAATGAATGAGTGAATGAATACTTGCCAAAAAAGAGTACAGAATAAAAGGGAGACAAATATTAGTCTTTTGGTGCTTATAAAAAGGCATATTATTTGCTAATAAAATACCACTCTGTTTTCCAGGTATTGTTATAACAATATAAGCCAATTTGTATTAATTTTTACTGTTATTAAAATTAATTGAACACCAACCAAGAGCTTAAAATGTTCTCAAGGGCCTCTGAGTACTCGTACATAATTAAAAATATACTTTAATTAAAAAACCTAAAAATGGAAAACAAGCCTAACCTTGGAAGGGCAGCTCCAATGGGGTTTAATTAGCCCATTTGGATTACGCTTTCCTACGCTTTCAGTGTGCGCCGGTAGCCCACATCCCGGTCATATTGTCTGCAGAAATGCCCCCAGCCCTGAGGTCACTGCTTGAAGTCTCCAGCCGCTTCTTGCTCTGTTCACAGATTATTTACCATGAATGGGCATCTCTTGGACAACTCAAAGGATCTGCAAGACAACCACTTCTATGTTGCCGCAGGACTGGAGACCTTCAAATATTTCCCTTACTGGAAATCCTCCAAGGTGCCCAGTGAGGTCCAACAGTGAGCACATTTCTTACCTTTCCCTCCCGAGTTGGTCGAGTTTGCCTTTTCCCCCAGTATCGCCCCCAAGTACAGCCTGTTCAGCTCTTGGCTGTTTTTCTGGAGTGAAACTTGATATTCTCATTTTATACAGGACACAGTTTTGGATTTTCACAGTGAGGCCCGAGGACCCCTGTTGTGTGATGTTGTCACAAGGACAGTGAGCCCTTGTGTTGAGCGAACTGCCGGTGGGGGGACACTGGGAGTCTCAGACAGAAAGGGCCTCAGCCTGCAAAACACATTGGCCCCGGGACACAGTCGTGGTAGCCCAGCCTCCATCCAGCGCCTCCCTCTGTTTTCTTCCTTTGGCCGGTTTCCCCTGACCTGGACTCCGGAGTTGGTGTGGGGTGGCGGGCCCTACTGAGGAAACCAGTGGTGATGGTTATAGTGGATCCTGGCCCAGGCTAACGGGCTGCACTACGGTGTGTGTATTTGTGTCCTTGCGGGAACGTCTACAAGGAAGGTGAAAGCATTGGTGGAGTCCCCCTCCCGTCCAGAGAACTAGAAGGTTGGCTGTCCCTTCCTGGGGCAGTTTGCTCACTCTCCTGCTTGCCATCTGAATTTGGCCAAGTTCTTGTGATCAGTGCATAATGTTCTCCTGTGGGCTCCTGCCTGAGGGATGCCCAGTGGCTTTACTGTGAAGAGCAGCCCAGCATTGGGCCCTGACCTGCTTGCCCAGAGTCCTGCATGGATGCTCACATAGACAGGTGTGGACTCTGTCCATCTGCAGTTCTCACCATTCAAGGACCTTGAAGTCCCCTGATGAGGTGGTCTGACTTACGTTCCCAGGGCACAATTGCACTTGATGCTTCCTTAGAGGGACTTTGGTGGTTATTAGTCTGGGGCCCTCAGCAGCTGCAGCTCCTAATGGGCTCCTGTGTGTCCATACTGGGTGTCCAGGTTCAGTGGTGGGCCAGGGTCAGGAAGGAGGTGACCTGCAAGACTGTGGAGTTCAGCGGTATGTACTGATCCAAATCCTTGATTTTTGTCCCAGATTAAAGCCCCAGTATTAGGGCTGAGTCTGATTTCTTTGCCTCTGGGTCCTGTGGGATGACAGGATGGGGCGTGGGATGACAGGCAGACCGCCTTGGATATGCCTGCCAGCAGACCGTGAGCCCCGGGGGACTGTGCCCTGCCGGCCACGCCCTTTGTCACCTGCCCTGGAAGGCGGGGCTCTGCTCCTCCCTATTTTGGTACTTGGGTGTCAGGCGCCTCCCTGCAATGTACACGTAGCCCTCCTTCCAGGAGGCTGTGGGACGCGGTGTGTGGCTCGGGCACCCAGTCCCTGTTCCTGCCCTGAGGGAGCTCCTGATTTCCAGGGCTGGCTGGGAGGATCGGTTTCCTGCTGATGGTGGGATTTGGCAGCCTTGACTGCTCAGCCCCATGGCTGTGTTTGAACTACATGCAGTCATAGCAACTATGTGAGGGCCTGTCAGGGACCTTCCCTGCAGCTGCTTCTCCACCACGCTTCTCATGGTCATTATCTTGAGCAAAGAAAAAGAGGTGTCAGTGTTCGTCAGATGGTTTCACCTGCATGCACCCCGTAAGTTCCCTGGCCCAGAGCCTGGGAAGCTGAGACACCTCCCGGGAGGTATCTGTTTGCACTCACCTGCTGTTAGGGTTTCTACTTTGAGGCAGAGAATGGCTTCTTTTGTCCTGTCCATAGACAATGACCCCACAGCCGATGGTTAGATTGGGGTCCTGCCACATGCCTGGCAAGCAGGGCTATTTCCTGATTTTATCCACTTGCTAATTCATTGCTGATTGTCCTAACTGCATGGTGGGTAGAAATACCTTAGGGGCTGTTGAGCTGAGATGCACGGCCCTCTCTGCTCCCGTGTCCCCTGCTCCCCACACGAGCCCCCCGGCTCTCCATGTGTTTTGTTTTTCCCTGTCACCTGTTCATGTGTTGAACCCTGAACCGGGTCTATTGGTTGCTTAAATACCTTTTTCCCTCACCAAAGAGGAAACGAGTCCACAGAGTTGCTAAGAGACTGAAGCTGTTCCCCACCCACGACATGGACCCGGGAGGTGCCCTTCTGCTGGAGAGTGGGGTGCCAGAGCGTTCCGCCCCGTGTGTAACACCGGCGGGTTCAGCCCCCATACAGAAGAATTAGGAGCAGGGTGTGCATCCCGGGCCGCATCAGAGCAAAAGGTGGCAGTTAGACAAGGGGTCTGTCAGTGGTGGGAGGAGGCTGGGCTGGGTTTTGGATGGGCTTGGAGTCTCTGTTCTTCCACTGGTCAGGGTGCGGCATTGACTAAACCCTCATGTCCCCGAGCCGTGCTTCCTCACATAGACAGGTGTGGACGGGTCCCTGTGAGAGTTGCATGAAAAACCCGTGTTTGTGTGAGTGACTGTCAACTGCCCGAAACCTCAGATGTGTTAGGATGTCCCCCCACGACCGTATACAAGCTTCAGGGCAGAAGGTGCCTGTAAACATGGTGCCACTCACCCTGAGAGAAATGGAAATCCATCGGACTTTCCAAGGTCTCGAGGAAGGAGACTGAGCCAACCTCAGTGGGGGCCCCTTCCGTTCTGAGGCGGGGAAATGCCGTTGATGTGAGCTCGTGATGAAGGGGGTACTGGATGGGCCTTCCGCGGGGCCTTGCCCTCCTGAAAGCCAAGGCTGCAGCCTACAATTTTAGAAAGATGTTTTTTGGCTGACTTTTACAGATTTATAGTTGACTCTTTTGTCTTTCAGAAAGTATGCAGACATAGAGAAATACTCACGAAGAAAGAAAAAAGTAAGTCCTTTTCGGGGTGCCTGGGTGGCTCGGTTGGGCGTCTGACTCTTGATTTCGGCTCAGGTCATGGTCTCTTGGGATCGAGCCCCATGTTGGGCTCCGTGCTGAGTGTGGAACCTGCCTGGGATTCTCTCTCTCCCTCTGCCCCTGACTGCTCACGCTCTTTCTCTCTAAAAAAACCCCAGTAAGTCCTTTTCACACAGTGAAGATGAGAACGGTGCTTGGGGACACGTGACAAGGACGCCCCCAGGCCAGCCCCGGCGGTGGGGCCCGGAGCTTCTGGGCTGTGTGTGCAGCCACGAGACGTGGCTCAGAGCGTAGGGACAGACAGGAGGGAGAGGGGCCAAGCCTGGTGTGGCCGCCCTGGGCCTGGGGGCAGCAGGGAGGGGGCACGTCAGGTGCAGAGGTGGGAAGCGCTCACTGTGTGTGTGCTTATCTGCACGCGGTGTGTCACAGACAGCACGAGAAGAGCGGCCAGCAAGTGTCAGGATACGGGCCTGGGAAGGCAGCAGAAGCCAGATCTTGGCGGCCATACGGGTCTTACCGCCCGTGTGTGTGATGACCACATACCCCACCCATTTATAAAAACGCTGTTTCAGTGGCTCCCTGACATTACTGTTCATTCAGGAAAGCTATTGAGCGCCTACTCTCTGCCCATCCCCAGCTTTTAGCCCCTTTGCTCAGGCACCTCCCTCCGGAGGCTCATCAGCTGCGTATTGACCCCCCCCCCCACGTATTGACCTATTCTTTCCCAACATCTCACGGCCAGCCCTCGACGTGGCTTTTCTCCTGGTGCAGTTCAGATTTCGTAACTGCCATCTTAGCCACTGTCTTGGAAATACTTTGGCTTCCTTACCCTCTGAACCACCCCGGTATTTGCCTGGCAAGAGTCCAGCCTTGGATGAGCCCAGCCCCTTGCCTGTCCACACTTGCACTGAAGGAGCTCAGTGTCGCTGGAGGTAATGACACAGCTGACCTGACTCTTTACCCTGAGTTCACAACTGCAGTCCTCATCCTACCACCTTCACTGAAAAAACCCTACTGCTAAAAAATGGTCTTCGGAATACACTTTGCTCAATTTTGTGAGGGATTTTTGCATGTCTATTCATAATGAGATTCGTCTCCAGTGCTGCTTCTTCATGTGGTCCTTGTCTGGCTTTGGCGTCAAGGTTTTTCTGAATTGACTCTGGTTATTTTGGTAACTTCCTGAGCTGAATGATCATCTTATTTATTTTCAGTTTTATTTCTCTATGGATCGTCTTTAGTATTAAGTGTTTGTTGGGTGAATGAGTGAACGAGAATCGTCGAGAACACAGAACCAATAGACACGATTCTGCCCCAAGGATGAGCTTCATCGCATGTGATCGGACGACACAGACTTGTTTCATGATAAAACGTTTGTGTGAATGAGTCTCATGCATAGGGTGATGGTTTGCAGGAAAGGGTAATCGACACATGGAGATCCACAAATGGGGCACAGGTCCTAACGTGGCTCAGAGAAGGGGGCAGATGTTCCAGGTGGAGAAGGACCCGACGTGGATGTACAGAGTTTTCTCAGCTGTGGGCGCTGAGTTTGAATGTTGAAACAGCCTGAGTGGTACAACCTTGGAATCCCATATTTTAATGGTGTGAGAAGCCTCTGAGCACAGAGAACGGAGCCAGGAGTCCGAGGTCATTTTGTTATGTGCTCATTTCATTATGTTGTTCTGACTGGGTCCTGATAGGTAGGGATAGTGTTTTCTTTTCCTTTTATTAAATATTTGTTCTATTTGGTCTAAAATCTGGGACATGTTTGTTCTGATATTGCCTGTAGTTCTTTCTCTTCTCTTTTGGAAAGTGATCACTGGGAAGTTAACAGGTTTTAAGGATGATACATAACATTAAGAATCTTTAAACGGAATCATCACAAACATGCATACCCTGCAATGCAAATAAAGAGTGTTATTTTAGAAAAAATAAATCTATGATTGAAAATATTCCATGATGTATGACAAGGCATGTAACAACAGAGCAAACACATTTTATTCCAGAAAAAACGGGAATTCCTAAAAGAATACAACAGGTATTGATTTTAACAAAGGTTGATGTAAAATCTCTGCGTTTGTTGTGTTAATGCCTGTCAAGGTATTTTACCTTATTCATTGCTCCCCGTGTGGAGGTCTACATGGTATGTTGAGCTGAGAATTCAGTACTTACAAACCTTTGCCCCATGTGAAGAACAGGTGCATTTTTGAGGATGAAAACTAGCCCAGGCTTCTCTGGCTTCATGAGGCTGGGTTTTATTTTATTTTAATTTGTTTTGTTTGGTTTTATTTTATTTTTTGAGGCTGGGTTTTAGAATTAGTCACAGCAACCATATTATGGTAAGTACGATTGCTTCTTTATGTGCGTGTGCTAGGCTTTCCATGTCTCTCTTACTAAACTTCTTTGATTTGTTTTCTGTGGGAAGTGGGGTGCCTCCTATGTAGATGGCCTCTGACTGCTGCTGTTAGCGGTCATGCGTGGTTTCGCTGTCGTCACGGTGAGCCCGTCTCTTCAGCTGAGGTGTGTGCATGGTGTGTGCATGTCAGCTGAGCTACACGTGTTGAGCGTCATTGCTGCAAACGTCCTCAAGATGATGTTGATACGATTCAGAATCGAAGTGAAAAATTATATTCCCAGAAAGGTACAAAGAACAGCAATTTTATGCTAGTGGAGTACATTCTTTAATTCTTTATATTTTTCCAAAGGAACAACCAACTCTTTTATGAACCTGAGAAAGGAAATTACCGTGTGCAGCTGAAAATACAGGCTCAGTAATCTATTACAGTGTAACGAGCCATGACCTAGGGGATTAACACAGCGATGTTTTATTATTTGTCTATGTCCTGCGTGTTGGCTGGGTGGGTCTTGGGCCAGTTGCACCAGGCTTCCTTACAGGCTGCGTTTAGCTGCAGGGGTTGCTGGGCTGCAAGGTCTAGACTGGCTTTAGGAGCACGTCTGGACGTTGGTGCTGGTCATCGTCCCCGTGGTTGCAAGGTTCCGGGAGGTAGAGAAAGAGACCCTCCCTTGGTGGAGGCATGCAGTCAAGATATGCACACCTCATCTGCATCCAGAGAGGGGGTTTGGTGGCCAGCAAGCACTCTGCCACATTCGTCCACCACGTCTTATTACTGAGGCAGATGCAGAAGGCTTGCTTCCTGTGCTCCAGGCAAGAAAGCACCAGCCTCGAAATGTGCAGAGCAGCTTGGAAGAAAATTCCAGAGATCATAGTAGTGCACTCTGTCCACACTGCCTGGCAAAGCACAGACAAACTCAGCTCCAACACAGAAATGGCTCAAAAGAGCCCGACTCTGGGTGTAGAATCTTGAGAGGAGTCGAGCAATTTATTTCTGTGGCCTTGTTCTCTTGCTTTACATGCAGATGTGCTATGTGATAAAAATCTGTGTCTAAAAGTTCTGAAAGGGCTGTTTCAGTAGAAAACAGAACTTCCAGGTAACAGGGAAGCCGTGTGACATAGTTTAGCTGGTAGTTTGCTTTGTTTCTTAGCGACATGTAAAATAACCACGTGTCTTATGATTCATGGCATTTGATTCCATGAAATGAGAAGAAACATAATGGCCAGGAGCACAGATGTCTGGGTGACTGTGGATGTGGGAATGTTGGAGAAGCCGCTGGGGCTCCAGGTGTCCATTAACTTGAGCCGTGACTGTTGAGTCCTAGGAAATTAACTGAGTGAACCTATTCTTATTTCGTTAGATAAGATTCAGTTTTCAGCAACTCATTTACCGTGATTTTGGATCTATTACTTTCCAAGGAAGTGAGGCCAATTTAATAAATGTTTAAAACTGCTTTCCTATATTAAAATGAATATTTTAATGTGCAAGCCTCTGTAAAATGTCAGTAAATAATTAATAAGCATTGTATTTATATCACATCCACAACCAGAATGTTAATATTACCTACTTCTCTTTTGGGCATAGAGCGCAAATGTTGGTAGTGAACAGAAACGAACAGGAGATAAAACATTGACAAATTAAAGGCGCCTGTGTGTGCTTTTGTGTGCACATGGGTGTGAAACAGTCAGAGAGATGCACACCACGGGACACCCACACTTTAATGACCAGGACTGAACTGTAAAGTGCAGCGTGGAACAAGTGTGTTGGAGCTGACACTTGCAGCTAATAACATCAAGACCGTAGCAGTATCACACAACATCCAAGGCTGCATTTGTGTCTCCTTCTAGTGGCCTGAAGAGGCAACAGTCAGGTTCAAATGTCAGCTAATGTTCCACTTTATTAATGCTTGGCATAGGGGCTGGTTCTCTGATGGCGGACCCTGGCCCACTTGGAAGCAGGACATTCACTCCAGAAGCTGGTGGGAGGTCTTCAGCGTGCAGCGCTGGCTTTCCTCCTGGGAGCGGCCCGACTCTGAACTCAGCTAGGTGGTTGCTGTTCCTCCACTAGACAAACTCTCTACTTCATCCACATTACCTTGCGGGGCTGCATTTCATGTGCCTGAGCAAGACTATCTATTACAACAGCATTGAAGTTCGGCTAGATCGAATGAAATAGGCTCCAGAGAAAAATGATAGTCCCCACAGCACTGCAGAGAAATGAACACAGTGTGCCTCGGGTATGTTTCCTGAGAATGTTTTTAATGGGGGAATAGATTAATGAAATGGAAAAGCAGCACCTGACACCTTTGTAGGGCACTCGCGTTGATTTTGGACTCGGGACTCAGGGCAGGGAGGAGTGGGGACAGCAGTGATGCCTAGACATTTCCTTGTGTGGGGAAGCACAGATTCTTTGTTTTCCTGCTCAATCTGTTGTGTCTGAGAAATGCTGTAAATCTGTGTGGCTCTGACAATGAGAGGCACGCAGTGTCCACTGCATTCCAAACGTTGTGTAAAGGTGAAGGCGGCCCCGTCCTGCCCTTGGGGAGTGCAGGCCAGTGGGGAGCTGGTGGGCAGAAGCTGCAGGTGCATGGCCGTGGGGCTGGGAGTGTGGACGAGCGCTCCTCTGCGTGGGACACGGTGACATAGGAGCAGGACCAGGACCTGAGGAGGTGGCGGCTCTGGAGAAACACCTGGGGTGTCCCAGGCAGGTTGGGACAGCAGGGCGTGTAGAGGTCACCTCATGGGTGTGGGAAGGCAGGCTGGGCCAACGGTGTAGCCGACCCTGCACCTCCCATACCCTGCACTCCGGCAACTCTTCCCCGGTCTTTCTCTTTTAAGATTCCATTTATTCATTTGAGAGAGAGAGCCCATGAACAGGGGGGAGAGGCAGAGGCAGAGGGAGAAGCAGGCTTCCTGTTGAACAGGGAGCCCGACGTGGGGCTTGATCCCAGGACCCTGGGATCATGACCTGAGCTGAAGGCAGATGCTTAACCCACTGAGCCACCCATGCACCCCAACCCTTCCCCTGTCTTTGTCCTATTCTTCTTTTCCTACTTTCCCCCACATCTTCTTACGCAGTTCAAGAGATCAGCAAAGATTTACTAAGCAACTGTTGGGATTACTTCATTGGGCATGGGTCTGTGTTGGGAGGTCACTGTTTGCTTGGACCCAGGAATGCAAAGGGCAGGGCCTGTGTTCTGGTGATGACATGCAGGTGTTCCAGGAACGTGGCATAGGGACTCTAAGCTCAGCTTGCCCTGGAATTGGAAGGCAGGGAGGAAGGGCATCGCAGGTGGAGATGAGCTAGAAGGTGGGCAAAGCCTGAGTAGGGAATAGACTGGGAATGTAGGTGGGCTTAGACTGAAAGGTCACAGCACTGAGCTGAGGCACTTGGACACCATCCTCAAGTTGTGACAACTCCTGTGAGCATCTGAAAGGCACAGGGGGATGAGATTCATACCAGCACCGTTCACTTACTCACTGGGCAAGTATTTACTGAGAGCTTTCTCTGTGCCGCCCGGCTCCGGGCTCTGGGAATTCATCATTAGACAAACATCTCTGGCCCCATGGAGCTTCCAGCATTCTAGTGGTGAGACGTAAGCAATAACCATCCTAAATAAGTCACCACACATGGAGGTTGCCCTCAGTGCTGGGGGCACGGGATGAAGGGGAAGAAAGAAATGGGTGTGCAGGTGAACAAGGTCAGGCTGTCCTTGAGGAGACAGACGGCCCCAAACCACGGCTCAGGCTCAGATTGACGAGAAGCCAAACCAGCGCAGCTCTGGGTTTCACTGGATGTCGTAGAAATAAGGAGCTTGTAGAAACTCGTGTTCCCATCAGGTACATTGGTTAGGTATGAGATTAAATAATGAAATCAACTTATTGAACTTACGGGTGTTCTTCATCTGCCGTCTCGCTGGCCCGAAGCTCTGTGTGGGCCCCTTCCAGGTCGGTGTGGACCAGCTCATCTCCTCGTGGTGGGGCCGGTGGCCAGTGGCCAGGCTGCAACGGTCTTGGCTTTTGCTGTGCGCTTTGCTCTGCACCAGGGTTGCTTTGTGTCCTTGTGAGGAGGGTGGGACTCGTCCTGTGTCACTGTCCTTCGGCTAGTACTTCAGAGGTAACAGTAAATACAGGGTGTCTTGTCATAGAGGCTGAGGATCGGGAAAATGGTTGCAAGAAATAGATGAATCCCAACCCCCAGCTGCCCCCAAAACACAAGCAGCGCGCACTGTGTTCTGTTTCTAAGGCCAGTTTTGCCAAGATCTGTTTCCTATACGTATGAGCATGATTTCAACTTTTAGGAAAGCCCGTTGAAGTAGGTAGAAAGATTTCGCTTGGTTCTTGTATTTGGTTGCGGGATTATTTTATGCACTTTAATTTCTGCAAGGATAAAACAGCCGGTCGTTTGCCTCATAAATATACTGATGTTATAGGGAGGTGCCATAGAGAGCTCAGGAGAAATCTTGATTTATATAGTTCTGCTTGTGTTCAGTAAAGACAGAAAGCAGGAAAACTGGAAAGGTGGTTTGTATTATGACGACAGTTTTTGGGACGGAGCTGGGATGATGCTCAGAATTAGCTCATCTTCCACTGTGATCCCCTCCTGCTCGGTCATTACTGTCTGCAGATTTTTTTTTTGGACCATCTGAGTTTCCCTTTATCTCAGTCCAAAACAAACCTACCACATGTTTAATATCCTTTTATCAGAGATGCTGTGCCTTGCTCAGAGGTTCCAGTGGGAATAGTTTTGTAGGTGTTGAAAACAGTGATTTTTGGGGCACCTGGGTGGCTCAGTTGTTAAGTGTCTGCCTTCGGCTTGGGTCATAATCCCAGGGTCCTGGAATTCAGCCCCTCATCGGTCGTATGATAGCTTCCCTGCTCGGCGGGAAGCCTGCTTCTCCCTCTCCCCCTCCCTCTGCTTGTGTTCCCTCTCTCCCTGTGTCTCTGTCAAATAAATAAATAAAATCTTAAAAAAAAAAAAAAGACTCATGGTACACTGCTGTTCCTCACATACTTTTTATTCTTAATTTGTACCTTAGGAGGATTCCAAAGGAAAAGAACCTCATAAATACGACAACATTCCCCATAAGGAACAGGATTCTGTTTTTTATGCCAAAGAGGGAAAGAAGAAAATGCTAGTAGAACCTTTAATGCAAAGCGGCGCAGGTAATGTGAATTTCATTTGGCTGTGGGCATTAAAAAGTGCTACCATTTGAAGAATGTGTTTTTTTTTTTCTTCCAGTCCAGTTTCATACTGCAAAGATATGGCTTGTAACTGTCTGATTTTAAAACTTCACTAGTGACAATCTGATTTATTAATGAGACATTCAGCTCCAGGGGCCGTGGTAGTGAGAGGAGAGAAACAAAATCCTAGTCATGAAGGCAATGGGCTTCTCCACCGAGGAAGCCCTCCCAGATTGATGCAGGAATTCTATCCTCTCTGTGAACATCTGGGTGGGCGTGCTCTACCCTGAGGATCGGTGACACAGCAAACAACCTGTGAACAGATCAGCCTTTGGAGGAAAACATGAAACTCAAATCCACCTGAACTGTTTGGGTTTACTTTTTTTTTTTTTAATAGAAAAAGTAGCATTTTTTTTATTATGTTATGTCAATCACCATACATTACATCATTAGTTTTTGATGTAGTGTTCCATGATTCATTGTTTGCGTATAACACCCAGTGCTCCATGCAGAATGTGCCCTCCTCAATACCCATCACCCGGCTAACCCATCTCCCAACCCCCTCCCCTCCAGAACCCTCAGTTTGTTTTTCAGAGTCCATAGTCTCTCATGGTTCATCTCCCCCTCCCATTTCCCCCCCTTCATTTTCCCCTTCCTGCTATCTTCTTTTTTTTAACATATAATGTATTATTTGTTTCAGAGGTACAGGTCTGTGATTCAACAGTCTTGCACAATTCACAGTGCTCACCATAGCACATACCCTCCCCAGTGTCTATCACCCAGCCACCCCATCCCTCCCACCCCACCCCCCACTCCAACAACACTCAGTTTATTTCCTGAGATTAAGAATTCCTCATATCAGTGAGGTCATATGATATGTGTATTTCTCTGATTGACTTATTTCGCTCAGCATAACACCCTCCAGTTCCATCCACGTCGTTGGAAATGGCAAGATCTCATTCCTTTTGATGGCTGTATAATATTCCATTGTGTATATATACCACTTCTTCTTTATCCATTCATCTGTTGATGGACATCTTGGTTCTTTCCACAGTTTGGCTATTGTGGACATTGCTGCTATAAAAATTGGGGTGCACGGGTGCCTGGGTGGCTCAGTTGGTTAAGCGACTGCCTTCAGCTCAGGTTATGATCCCGGAGTCCTGGGATCGAGTCCCACGTCAGGCTCCCTGCTCAGCGGGGGGTCTGCTTCTCCCTCTGACCCTCTTCCCCTCTCGTGCTGTTTCTCTCTCAAATAAATAAATAAATAAAATCTTAAAAAAAA